GTGTTATATTAATATACAATGTTAGTTGCTGAATTAGTTAAAAAGAAGTAAAAAAAAAAACAGAGTACATTTCAATATTGTAATTTCATACAATTTTTTTGTGAAAACAGTTCTATTTTTTCCTACCTTGAAAGTATTTTTCATATCGATGCTTCGAAGATTTCATGAATTCATTGTGGTAAAAATTTCATATTTGATTTGCCTGGCTTCATATTGATAACTCGTTTCATTTGAATATATGTCATGATTTTCCATACACCTATGTAATATTCTGAAATACAAATATACCTATATATGTAAAATTTTGTATTCTATAGCTTGTAATACATTTTTGTAATGTCGAATATTACAAAATGTATTTATTATTTATTATAGATCACATTCTATTCCATTCTATTATCCAACACATAAACGTTTTATAAATGTTACCTGTCCATTAGTATTCTAAATTTATAATGTAACTACTGAAGCAGAGCTAAATGGAACTTTGAATTGCTGTAAAATTTCATCAATTTAGATAGAGGAAATGCTATTCAATATCACAAGAATCACCCTTATAACAACTTAACAATAAATGTTATTAACATATCTGCTACTTCAGAATAACCACTCTGGTCAATTACAGCAGCTTAACTGACTCAGACTCCGCTTCTTTTAGGAGACTTAAATATCTATCTAACAACTAACTTTCTAGAATCCTCTAGGTTAAGTTGTCAGGTGGTAGGCCTAAACACAATGTTTTCTAAAAAATTATATCGAGAAAACTGTTTGGTTTTTAGATCTAAATTGCATTTGAGGGTACAATGAGATCTAAGATTTTTTAAGTATTCATTTAAATGACACTTATATTTTCGGATTTTCTACGCGTCACTTTATTGTTTTAAAATTGCAGTCCCCGACGTTTGGGTTCTGTTACAGCAACCGTGATCACCATATTCATCTTGTCTGCCGCTGATCACGATTGATGTTAGTTTTTAAGTAATAAAATAATTCGTAATAATCCGAAAATGTTAGTTTCATTTGAATAAATATGCCGTTTTAAATGTTTTTTGATCATTGCCTAATAAAAGCTTACGTCGAACATGTTATAATTCGGTTAAATATAACTTGTTATTATATTTACTTTATAGATTATACATTTTTGTTTTATTTTTTTGTGCTCCAATTAGAGCTGAGTCGCATTACAAGTTGCAAACAACTGAGAGTTTTATATTTCGATCCTTGTATTTTAATGTTGAAGTCAGTATTATAGTATTTTTTTATGTAATATGTACAATATTTTTATAAGTCTAATTTAAATTAAAACTTGTAGTGATATATTTAGATTCCTGTTCAATATATATTTTTTTGCTATAATTTATCTAATTGCTGGTTGAATATTTTTTTATTTAAAATCGTAACAAAGCATAAGCGAAATAAAAGCCCGTGTTATTTATGTTCATGCGGAAAATATTTTCAAATGCGGCTTTGAGAGATATGAAACGTTAAATCATCTGGCTTGCTTTTCATATTTTTACTTAAAACGCGTATTATAGACAGATTTTTTAAATTTACTTTATATTGAAGTACATTGAATTTGAGTATTATTATATGTTTTAGAAAATTTATTATGATTTATTGTGTATGTATTTGAATCTGGTATATATTGTTACCCTTGCTCACCAACACTATGTCTCACATTCGTCGACTTTGAATGCGTTCGAGCTTTAGGTACGAGTATATTTACAACACTTTCTCGCCCCCGTGGTACCTCCATGATGGGCTAATTAGTGATCCATACAAAGAAGATTCGTATACACGCTTCGTTAAACACTGACTGAACATCAATAGAAAACTTCAGAGGCGTTAAAAAACGAAGTGGAATGTTATTTAAATTATCAACTAAGAAATACGGACTAAAGTACCTTTAATAATTTCTCAATATGAGTAAGGAAGTCAAGTATCTTATAGAGTAATTTTCTTAAGTTTTTTATTACACAGTCAACATAAATACTTCCTCTGTGATTTTTTTTTCTCTAACGGACACTTCATAAATACTGCCTTCTGATGGAATGAATAGGTGAAAAAGAATGCTGTCAAGTAATATAAAAAATACACTTTGTTTAAAATTATTAAGGTGGATTTTTTCTTTTGTTCTCTATATAAGGGAATAGGCATGTATATTGTAAGACGTATGTATCTGGACGTTTCAAAAGTGATGTTCAATTACATTATGATTTTTAAATGAATTATTAACTATGATTGCATAAGTCTATATTGTTTTACATTTATTGAATTGCATGTAAAATAACTAAAGTTAGATAAATAAATGACTATTAGTTTGCTGGAGAACAGTTTTTTTAAATAATTTTATATTGTTAATGAAATGGTTTTAAGTTAACATTTATTTTTGTTGCATTTTTATTAGTTTATATTTAATACGTGAAAATTTTAAAACAGAATGATTAAAATTTTTATGTCTTTTTAATTCATATTAAATAAAATGTAATAAACTATATTAATGAAATTTAATTAATAGATCATCAACAGTTGAACGGACTATATATGGCAATATTACAGATTTCAATGAAGGCAATAACAGAATAAGAGCTATACTTTGTCCTGAATATCCGTGTAGCCATCGCTGGACCAAGACAGATCAGTTCTTTTATGTGTGAAGTTTTGTGGCTCACATTTTAGACTTTGCTTACTTGGTTACCATATATAATAATTAACACTTAATACTTCATTTTGAGCCTAACTCAGAAGTTTGGACAGAAAAACTAGGAGGCAAAAACTAGTGAGTTATTATACATTGTTAGCTAATGCCAAAAAAATAAAGATCAGTGGTGGGGATCGTTATCAACATAAGCAGCGGCTGCCTCATTTTTAGACACATTTTTAACACGAATACTTACGAGCAAAAGCTCTGTCCGATTGATTAGTTAATTTTGCCATTACTCTGATAAGTTATTAAAGAAAAAAACCTCTTCTTGTTAAGAATATATACGGTTATTACACATTTTTCTCAAACACTATATTACCACTACATCAAAACTGAAATAGTCACAACACCTTAATACCTATTTTCTAATCGATCAATTGGTTTGTTTGTAAGTTATCAAGTAAACTTAATTATTTTACCTATTTATATAGAAATTGAAGCTTAATATTAATAAAAGAGAATTTAAAACGGTTTTGTTTTAAAATTTATGTTTTTTAATGAGTTAAAGTTAATTAAAGTTTCCTTGCATTTTGACATTAGTTCGTTTTTATAGCTCATATTATTATTTATTGTCTTCGTCTGCTAAATTTCACCATTTTGCCGGCAGTTTAATTTAGTAAAATTCATTTGTATGCAAAGTTTGATTCACTTCGTGTTCATTCCATGTTAAATTCTAAAAATTTGGTCATATATTATATTTGATATTACATCAGAGGTTAGAAAGATATGAAATATAGAAGGAAAATTACTTTCTGATTCGAAAAAACCATTCTTACAATATTTATATTCTAAAAACTCAATATTCCGCATAAAAGACACTAGCGATCCGAGAAATTAAAGCACATTCGAGACATAACAACGACTTATTAAGTTCTTCATCTCAACAGTACCTAGTTTTATTATCTTCAAATACCACATAAATACTGAAATTATTTTCAGGATTAGTTTAAAATATATTTATAAAAATATTTCTCGAGTATTGTTTGTTAAAAGTGTAGAGACTTTATGTATTTAAAAAAAAAATAAGAAACTACTTTCAAAATTTTTGTTTTAAAATACTTTTAAATTAACATTACATTACATATTTTAGAATTATGTACATACATATTCATTATTTTGGCAATATTAGGATACTGTGAGAACTGAAATTTTACAAATTTTGATTATATATGGACAAAAATATATACGATAAGCTAACTGCATCGGTAGACAGGGAATATGGTACTACAAATATTGACAGGCGCCGTCAGGCACAACTTGATTTAAGGATAAATGTGGTTTAAAGGAATTATAAAAGATTGAAAAAAGTATTTTTAAATTGAAATAATTTTAAATATTAGTCTTAGTAAGATTATTTACTAACAATGAATCACACAAAAAAGTAATGCTTATTTTTTTATTTAACGATAGACAACAGTAATTAACCAACATTCTTATTTAGATATATGTCAGGCTTTTAAGTTTTAATAATTTTGTTTTTGAGTAAGGAGACCAAAATGAGTAAACGTAAAGTTTTAAAAATTTTAAAATCATTACCTTCAAAACATAAAACAGAACTAATGTTAATTAGAAGAAATGTTTTCAGTAAGATTCCTAAGAAATGACATTATTCCGAAATATGTATATAACTACTACAGATATTATAAATTATAGTATACTCTGTTGTAATTAATATGAGTTGATATTATCTCCACGTAATAATACAAAGTGGATCGAAAGCCAAATACCTTATTTCTCCAAGCCTTGTAATGTAGCAACAGTAATTAACAAACCACGCAGATGATAAATCAGAGCAACTGTATGTAAATTACCCACTGACTTGCGAATTGTGGCCTCCGATAAATGTTAATTTCTTGATTTGTTCTATTAAATTTTCTACAAAAGTTTATATTTTTTCCTTGTTTATTAAAAGTCTAATATTTGAAATTATCACCTATACTAATAGAGTAACTGATGGAATTGCTTCTAATAAATATTATATATAAATATATATTTTGAGGTTTTACAAATCCTTTCATTCCTTTCGCTTACTTTTTTTTACTTTGAAAAAATTTAACAGAATCTTGGTAATTTTGGATTTCAATTGATAAAAACCGAAATAATGTTACTCTTCGTCTCATAAAAGATGCTTTGTGTAAGTTTCAACCTGTGAACTGATTTTTTACTGGCGATTCATCTATTTTGGATTTATCTCAAAAGAACACCTTTTTTGCTTGTGGATATAGTAGGTTGTTCACTTATTTGGGTACCAGGATCAAGTTATAATTGGTTAAAGCACCGGATAATCGTGAGCAAGTTATTTGGGAAATACATATTCTCTTGAGGCGTAGATGGCATGATTTAAGGTCATCTTCTTTTCTGCCATTCGCTGCCATAATACGGGACAATCGCCCGTGCTACTGTCGCCAGGGACAAACTGAACATTATTGCCGAGACGAGGGTCGCTTGCTCTTGGATCCTTCTCGGGCCACGTTTTTGACATTTTCTCGCTCATGGCACTCAAATGTTTGCTTCCTCCGAGCCATACGCTAAATATCACATATAGATCAACTTGATATTGATAACATTTTGGCAAGTGAGCTTATGGTTTGATGTTGCTTTCTGCTACGTAAGTTTTGAATTTAATATTAGATATTACATTAAACAACGAAACCAATTTTTACAAAATTATTTATCTGGTAGTGTAAATATGTTTATGTTTGTATTTAAATTTACAGAACCATTTAAACATATTATAAAAAATTGTCGTGTTTTTGAGAATAAGAGAAATTCCATTTTCATTACACAATTAACAATCTGTTTAGTGTATTAATAAAATAAAATAAATTTAAGGAATTATTTCTAAGAATCCAATTATAAAGCTCAATAAAAAAAAAAACATCTTCGATCATTAGAAGATCTTGAGCAGGCGAATCAGCAACTGACTTGGCAAAATACATTTTTTAACAGCCTTAAATTTAACAATTGACTTTGAAGGTTAATAATTCAAATTAATATAAACGTAAAAGAATTAACTGTATTTATAAAAAAATGTAATTTTACAACTCTTACATACTTCTTACATACAAACAGTTAATATGTCGCGTAGTTCCGTGATGTATTGTGTACGACATAGCGTTTTATTGTATACGTTGTGGGGACATACACTGATTTATATTTCGCGGTAGCTCTGAAATGTCTATCTATTTGTCTTAATTATTTAAATAGAAAAACAATCGAACCTTCACACAAATCTTTCTGTTGTACAGGTACAAATACGCGTCTGAAATCAACTTACATCGAGAAATGGGGCGTTAAGCGAGGATACTGCTATGAATAATTGAACACTCGCTCGTCTATAACAGTACTTGTATTTGAGGCGACACACCCAGGAAATCGCTTTTTCATTATTTAAATGAGTATAATAAGTCTCTGAAAAAATCTGTATTCGTTTGACAAAATGAATGTACTAGATATGATACGAAACGTAAATACTTTCAATAACCCAATTGGTGTTAACTTAGCTCAAAATTTTATTGATTTAATTTCTGAGTAACATAAACATAACAGTGAATTTTGCTGTAAGGATACTGAATTTAGTTATGATTGATTTATGTACTAACATTTTCTATTACCGGAATTGGCTATCGTGTTAATTAAAACTTGTAATAAAAACTGTTAGAGTTTTACTTTATTATTTTTTAAATTAATAAATGAACGTGCTAGTATTTTTTTTATGATTTTATCTATTTAAACCTGATTAAATAATAATAAATTAAGAAAAGATGTTAGAAAACTAGCCACAAAACATTTAAAAACATATCTACATATCTATTATAATCAAGTTAGTCATCTATTAACAATACTCTATATTCCAAATTCTACAGAGAATAAAACGCAACGGTTCATTTCTGATACATATATTTTCAAATACATTAAGTTCTAAATAAAGCGAAAAAGTGAAATATAATGCAAAAAAAATGTGTTAATATGAATAATCTAAGAGTTATCTAAATAAAAGATAGCTCTTACGGATTCAATATCCGTCAGAAAAATGAGAAAGGGCGTACAATTCATTATCGAACTTTTTAAAACTACTCGTATCGTAAACACTCATTTTCCGAGGAAAACAAAAATGAAAAATACAATTGCAGAAACGAAATCTAGTTTGCACCTGATACAACGATCAGGTTTTGTTATTTCCTCGGCAATATTGGTATTAACTGAAACCATAATAATTAATTGACTTAATATAATATTACCGACAAGGACGTTGAGATACTCGAAACTACATATTAATAATTCAACATTTCAATAAATAAATTATGTTCTTATTATCTTAATCATACTATGTATTATTATATTTATTTGCGTAATCAATACTTTAGAGTAGTTAAAATTATCTAGACGCTGAGACTAACTTGCATTTTTTTTTATTTTTTTTATGGGAAAAGGGGGCAACGGAGCAGACGGCCTACTTGATGGTAGGTAGTTACCGTCGCCCATTGACATCTGCAACGTAGATGCAGATGTGTTGCCGCCCTTGTTTGGGGAAAATGGGGAGTAAAAGGTAGGAAAGGGAGGGAAAGGAAAGGGCAGGAAAGGGTGGGAAAAGGGAAAGGGCAACCGGCTCTCTCACTCACCGGACGAAACGCAGCCATTAAAGACTACTTCACGCCGATTTTCTGTGAGAGGGTGGTACTTCCCCGGTCGAGCCAGCCCATGTTCGAGCTGTAGTAACTTGACTACAGCTAGGCTCTACCACCTCACAGAATATTCCACTTCTTATAAATTATAGTAAATTCAATATCATGTAAACATTAGAATAAATTTTATTGAATAATATTTTAGTTGTGAGTCTACATCCATAAGATCTCGTTGACTATAACAGCTTTGACATAAGATATGAGCAGATGTTTGATGGGTGGACTTAATCAGAGTTCAATACCATATACAATATTGTTATTTATTTGTTATTATTCATTGTATTTATTTAATGTATCAGAAAAGCTTGTTGACGGCCATTCTACGACATAATTTAAAGGTGGTTTTTAATTGTAACCAATGATCGCTGATGAACACTATAAGTATCCATTTAATTATATATGTACATATATAATCATTATTATGATCTGATGATATTTGATCTGTTTAGTAAATGAATCATTAATAATAAGTGGTTTCTCGTTCTAATCCTCAAGAGGAAAGAGCCAGTCGTTAATGAGTTATTGATTAAAGTTTCAAACACGGCGGATATACTTAGTTTACAACATTGGAGCAGGGTTCAGCTTCAGCTTTAGCAAGTAAACCGTAAGACGACTATTCAAGAAAATTCCTAGTACCTAGGAAAGTACGTCAACCAGATATAATATCTGTGAGGAATTACTTACTCCAACAACTTTATAGGTTCAAGTCAATCTTCCTGGTTCTTGTGAAATGAAGCTAGTTTAAGCGCGAGATTAATGAAGTGCATTTACATCATTATTTATAACTCGAGTCAGCTTTAACGAACAAAATTAGTCTTCGTTTAATTAAGCCGTTTATCTTTATAATAAAATCTATGGATATTTGTTTGTTTTAAGAATCTGATGAAGTAATCCATTCTAGCTAAGTTAAATCCATCAATATAATAAAAAAGCGTAATTTATTTCTATAAATAGTTTGTTTTCAATTCATGATATAACTATAAAATATTCTTGTAATCGGAGGTTAAATCTCGGTGAGCTTATATTGTATTCGTAATGATAACAATATCGTTAATTTTATAGGACTATGTCATATCAATAAACAAAAGGTTGATATAGAATATTTTTTTTGTGTTTGCAAACAGCTAAACGCGTGTTTCCGCTGTTGCGATAGAAAACAATAGTTAAGTTTCAGATGCGTTTTTATACTTAAGGATTTAGAAACTATCCCTTTTATGGCTGAATACAATTTTTAAGGATTAAATATATGTTGCTTTTATTGATACTTCGAAATTAATTGTTTTTTTGTATGTTTCATTCAACACTATCTAGGGAACAATAACAGATAATTTACATTTAAGTTATATTGAGGAAAGTATGAAGTATACATTTACAATCTTATTATGTATTACAATTACTTTAATAAAATAAAAATATATATCAGTTTATCACTTCATTAAGAAGTCGAATAAATTATTTAGAATGCAAATATTAACGTCATAGCCAGGTTTCGGAAGAAACAGTTTTGTTTCTTCGAAAACAACGTCCTCCATTCAATCTTACTAACTTATTGTTATAGCCATTATTAATGACAGAAGTGGATTCGTATTAAACAAACTTCAACTGTAAATACATAGTTTATCCAAAGTTCTATTTATATTTGTAAATCGTTAATTGTTTTGAAGTATCATATCATAATTAATTGTAGAATCCTTCATCTTAGAACAATGAACTTTTTGGATGCAAATCTTAAGAGAAAATGCAATGATAACAGTCTCGAATCAGATTTGACTAATTGAATACCCTGCATCATTTACATAACTTTATGGAAAGTCATTTTTTTTAATAATACATTTTAGCTTCCTCACTTTGAATCCAGAATTTAAGCTCGATATAGAAGCTTGTATAACGTATATTTTACTTTGAATTAAAAATTAATTTGAAGTATTACGCGAGAGGCCCCGTTGGTTGGGAAACGAATCGCATTTAAAGTTTGTGTAAATTTGGGAATGGTATTTGAAAAGCAGCGAAGTCGTTTTATTTAGAAAGGTATGCTTATATAAAGCTATATATTTCACCGAGGTAGTAAACTCAAGCAAACATGCGATTTCGACGGAGCCTTTTCAGAATAACGAAGCAAATGCATTTAACAGTTAATGAGAGAAGTGAGAAACTCAATATAGTTCGTTTGTACGTGACTGCTACACAGAAAGCTAAGTTCGGTGCGATTTTATATTGCTTCTATGTAATGTTTGAATATTACTTAGGTAAAAAAATTGCAAATTATTAATTTTTTTCTTAATTATTATTTTTCGTTTTAAGTACATATGTACATCATTCGAATTTTTATTTATGCTGTAATGAATAGGGTGGATATTTCACCACGATAGGCATGTAATAAAAATCAGTCCCAGCCTTTCAGAGATTAGACATCGCGGACAGACATATGTACAAACAAAACTGTGTATGTGTTATAAATCTGTAGGCATTAAGTAAAAGACTGACATTTTATTGTTACAAACACTCTTTTCTATTTGAATAGGTGAAACAGAAGAAATAATATTGAGCAGCATGTTCTGCACGAAAAAGTAATTAATAAATAATATATTCTTAAACTTTGTAATTCAATAAACGTGTTTCACGATAGCTTGAAAGTGGAAAATAATATAAAAGTCTTTTCAAAAGTAAGCCTTTATAAAAATATCTTCATGTAAATCAATCACAGAAAGATATTTAATTTACTTATCCTTCTACACGAGTAATTCACGCTACAAAGTTTTATATCATATAACTTTTTGACTTATCATTTATTTGTAGTAGATTTAAATAAACTTCGTTTTTGTTGAAAAAAAAAATCCTTTGTGTTTTATTTATATGTTTTTGTTCTAATTGAAACAAAATTGAATACTAAAATTAAAGTTTTAATTCTAATAAACGTATTGTTCTATTCTATATTTTTTTATAGAATATACGCTGAAACTATTTTAATATCAACCTTGTGATAAAATAATAAGCGAGGTGGATGCCAACTTTGAAATAATAAATTTGCTCTTTTCATAACAATTCTCGTAACTAACATCAAAGCTGCGATGCGTTAACATTGTTTTATTGTTATTATATATGAATAATGACTTTTCCCTTTCGGCAATATTTATATGAGTATATGCTTTAAATGATTTTATTGAACATTTGTTATAATATTAATACGTGAAGCGCAAATCTTGTTTCCTTTTGAGACAATGGCCGATTACGGAAGCGGGTGAACGTGGAATTCAGAACATCAAAGATTTTATGGAGAAGTGCATAACATATGGTTTTGTTATAAAATGTATAAGAATTATATGTTATAAAATGATAATTAGGGCCTGTTAGGGCTTCAAATCACACAATTTAATGTCGTTTATTTGTGTAATTATGTCATTTTTATTTTACTATTGAACTTGAAATAATCAACCTATGGATTTATAAAACATTTAGCATAATCTACTCCACATTACATAAACAATGTTATATTTTTATTTTAATATAAGATAAAACATTATTTCTATGATATAAATAAAATGCTCGTGAGAAAACTGGTTATTTAGTTGAAGCATAATAAAACATTATGAAATATATGAAAGTCACGTAATATAAAATTTTCACACTTTACAAAGATATTTATTGAAATTTCGGTCAATATAGTGTGTATAGTAATATATGTAAGTACAGGTTTAAGATTCTCAAATAAATACATTTAATAAAACAAATAAATCAATCTCTAAGCTTTATTGAAACGAGGTTTCTTGAGACCTTATAAGGTACGTGACCAAGCTTCACACAGCCGAGTAGATCTGTTATGCGATTCAGGTCCTTCTCTCTCGCTTCGCTAGTTCCTCTTTGGTTATTATTTTGATTTGTTGGAAAATTCACGTTAAATAAATGAAATTTAATTCAGAGACAGTTTTGTCATGATAACATATTTTGTTTATCTTATATTTTCTATGCTTTCAAAAAGTACTATAGAATAATATATTCATCGATTCATTTAAAGCAAAGTTTAAGACTTGGACTGCAATGATATCTCAAATAATAAAATAATTACATGACAAATATATTAAGTATAGGTTTGTAAAGAGTACATACTTTTCGTGAATTTTAATAAAGCAACCTCGTTCGACTGGAGTTGTAATCACAAAATTTATAATACCGGAAAATCCCAAATGGATTGAATTTTATATGAAAAAAGAAACGTACGTCTATCGTTCCGTTATTTTGTGGCGTGTTTCCTGATACATGAGCGATAATGAACCATTCACACAGAAAATAATAGGAAATGCGTTTTTTATTATGAATTTAACTATGAACAATGGTCTAAAGAGAAGCTCCCAGCCACGGTCGCCGATTGTTGTACACCAACTGCACTTTATGTGCGTGTTGAGCCAAAAACTGCGATTTATAAACCCCTTCAGCTAAAAAGTTCTCAGTTTTATAAGTTTATTTATTCTGGCGTTGAATATGAAAATTTTTGTATGGTAAAAAATAAGTATATGTATACTTGTTCATGAT